AACTGTAATAGCATTTATATAGCAAACTTAAGTGTAGACCAGTGATTCTCGAACTTTTCAAGCAATGGAGCAGCCATGTCACACTGGCAACCACTATTGACACATCTGGAGTTTTTTTGAAGAGCCGTAAATTTTTGCAGAGCATTGTTTGAGAAACACTGGTCTAAACGATCTATACCATCCGATACAAAATATTAAAAATCAAAAATTTACAAACTTGTCTTTTGTGATTACCAAAACGCTATAAATGTCAATTAAGTACTGACTCTAGATGACTCAAAAATTAAAAAAAAGTATGCAAAAAACAAAATAATTTTTATAGAACTAATAAAATGAAAAAAAAACGTCAGCATGTAATTTTTTTTTTGGGTGGTGTAAATGTGGTATGTGCTTGTGTGATGATTCGAACAAATTATTATTATCATTATTATTACTCTACCTTTTTCATCATCTGTATGTGAATGTTTTTCACATGTTCATTATATGCCAATCAAAACTCTTTTATTTGAATAACAATTTTTTGAATGAGAAAAAAATTTCAGAATGAAGAACGGTAATTTATTTAAGGTAATAAAACCACAAAAGGTTAGGAAATTGTATGTATGAATGAATCACAATTTAATCGCTTTGGGTGAGAAAAAAATCACAATTTTTCTCAATTTTTTTTTTCTTGTCTCCATCATTAATTTTTTTAATTCGAAAGCTCTGGCAATAAAAATAGACAAAAATAGTTTAATCAACAGCCTCAAATTTATACGTGTTGCGTCAACTTTTTATCGTTTTTACTCTTATCGCATATAAATGAATGAATCAAAAAAAAATAATTCAACAATATTTTACAATACTCGACTTTTTTTTAATTGGCAATAAATCAAATATTTTTTTGCGGACTCTATAATGATAAAAATGAAAAATATTTCGGCTTCATTTTTTTGTGATGGAATGAATTTTTTTAGTTATAATAAAAAAGCAAAAAAATGAATTTTTTGAGATTATTTTAATCTGGTTTTTTGATATCAAAAAAAAAAAAAAAAACTTTTTTTTGTTCTAGAATTTTTTCATTATTATTGAAAATGGTATCAAAAAATTATTTACAGCATTCACTGAATGAATGATTTATAAATATATCATAAAGGGAATATGAATTATATTTATGTAAAAATATAGGGAATATTTGATAGAATTTTTATTTCATGCATAAAAATAAATTTTTATAAAAATGTTTATGTCAAGGAAAAACTTTCTAAGTAGAAAAGCAATGATGAATGAAATGAAATTAAAGGAAGGAAAAAATACACTAAAATTTTGTATAATTATTTTTTTATAATTCAGAAATGAGACGGAGAATTGAAGATTTTAGATGATTATTTTGGTTCTGAATTTTAAACGGAGATAAAAATTATATGCAGCAAAACAAAAAACATTTTTGGATTACTACTGGTTCTAGCATAGTTAGCTTCACTATACAATTATCTCAAATTATACTGGACATTCAATTTATTGGATCTAAATATTGACATTTTCCCTCAAAAGATTCTCAAATAAATTTCAATCAAAACTTTGAATAACGTTAAATTACTTTAATACTTTAATAAACTTTATTAATTAAATCAATTAATTACTGATATCGACTCAATCAATAATCAAATATTTTTTATGACAAAATATATTTTTAAATTGACATAGTTTCTTTCGAGGTTGAAATCCCGAGCGACAATTTGTGGCGATGGCAGTTGTGTGATTGCCTCCAAACTGCCTTGCCTTGAACAAGTCGATTTCAAGGCACTGCCTTATACTACATTGCCTTGTGGCTACCATACGACTGCCACCAAAACAAATGTTTTTTTCTAAAATTTCTGCCTTGCTCAGGCAGTTACAAGGCTGTCATATGACTGCCACCCATTTCAGCATTGTCGCAACATACTTCACAAGTAAAATCAGAAATGACTAATATAAGTCGAAGAAATGTTTCCATACTTTTCCTAAGATATTTTAAATAATATCTTTTGTGGCATGGCACTTTCACTGATTCGTGCTCCTATCAAGACTTAAGTCGCGATAAGACTTAAACTTTTGAGTCTCATTTCCTTATTAATTATAGTTTTTAATTTAATTTATTAATCTCTTTTGCATAGTACAAAACCAAATGAGCTAACGAGCATTTAATTTTCAAAAAAATCAAAAATTATAACAGAATCATAACAGTCTTTTGCTGCCATAATAACTGCCTTGTAAGCACCACCTCGTCAACATCTAGGCGATTACAAGGCAAGTCTGTCATAAGTCGGTGGCAGTTTCAAGATAGCCTTGCGCGCGGAAATATGGAGGTCAGGAGTTGCCATCAAGGCGATAAGGCAGTCGTATGGTGATTATTGATTTGCCTTGACTCAAGGCAGTTGGCAGTAGGCACTGCCTTGTGACCGTCGAATGGCTGCAATAAGGCTGTTGAATGTCGCTCGGGAATATTTTAAAAATTGTTGGAATGTTGTACTTTTCATAAGTTAGATATATTTGATTATATATTTATTAAATTAAAGAAAAAAGTACCAATATATATTTTTTGTGATAGTTTCTATTGTAGTTTAACGATTCTCTTTGATAAATTGAAAATATTTAAAGGTTTTGAAAGAGATGAAGCAGACTATGGGGCGAAGTTAAAGATTTTATGAGGAAAAGCTGAAATTTATTGAAATATTCGTCATTTTTTTGAACTTTCTTGGTCGGAAAATTTTGATCTGAGTTAAACTCTCTAGCTTAAGCTTCGAATATTTATTGAAATTTTGTCAATTATCATTCCTTAAAAGAAAATAAAACGTTTAAATAATTTTTTCTTAAATTTCATTTGATTTTAATCATGTAAAAGTTATTAAGAAATTATTGAAATTTTTTAGAAAAACATTGATGCTTCATACACAGCACAACGAGATTTAGAATAACAATTAGAAATTAGACTGATGATTTAGATTTGAATTTGAAATTCTTATTAAAACGCGTCTATTTTTAATTTATCAACTTCTCTGTCTCATTATGAATTATTGATGAATGTATTTACATGAAAAAGCATTTTTTTTTGGACAAGTCAAAAAAGAGGATAAAAAACTGGAAGGAGATAAAAACAAGCATTACAAGCTGAGGAATAAAAACAGAACTTAACAAAAAAGGAAGAAAAAAAAATTACAAAATCAAGCTAGAAGAAAAAAGAAGAAGAAAAAACGATAAAAGTAAAAAAGAAAATGCAAGCATCAGCAAGCAAGTTTTAATTAAAGAAAGGGATAAATAATTAAATAAAAAGGAACTAATTTTTAAATTATTTTCTCTTAGAATTTTTTTTCTCTTCTTCAAACCCATAAGCATTCAGTATAAAAGTAAGAACAAATCAGAAAAAATAACATAAATTAACAAAGAAAAACTGTCTACAATTTAAAATTTTAATACTTAAAAGAAAGCACAGATCAAAGTCCAGCTTGTAGCTTTAACAAGATCATTTTAACTTCTTAAGAGAACAAATGATTTATCAAATAACAAAAATTAAGATAATTAGACAAAGGAGTAAAGTAAAAAGGGCAAGAAATGAAAGGACTTAAATTGTAAAATTGCCACACTTTTTTATTCATTATCACGACAATTTTCTGTTGTATATGACTGAAAAAAGCTTTATACTTTTTGCATCATTTAGCTTATGATTAGGGTGACCATCTGCGTAGTTTTACAACGGACAGTCCTGTATTTCAAAACCCTGTCCTGTATCAATTTGAAAACTTTGTTCCAGGTCCTGTATTTTTTTCACGAAAATTTCCGTTAATTTTCGAATTTTACTCTATGTCCTGTATTTTTCGAAAAACTTTACCAAAAGTCCTGTATTTTCATGAAAATTAGATGGTAACCCTACTTATGATTGTCTACAGTTTTGCTAATTTCAAAATAAATACTTAAAGTTATCTATTAGTCTCCCTGTTTAAACCATAGCTCTTAACCATACATCTTAATGAAGTGTTGATAAAGTTACCCCAATTATGGGAAGGGACCTTAGGTTTCCGAAGACCTCCTTGTTTTCTTAGTTATCGATAATATTTAAAGGATCTTAATGACAACTTTGATTAAAATCAATTTAGTCAACCGTTTCAAGGAATCATTTCAACGCCTTTAACCCCTTGTCATCCTTTTTTAAATTTTTTAAATATTCGAATCCTTCATCTGAATCAATCTAAAATTTTACCAAAAAAAAAAATATTTTCTAGCTCTCCCACTAATTCAGCATTGAAAACCAAACTCTTATCATTTTAAATATTTTCATGACCGAATAAATTTTTCTTTTAATATTGACATCAACCATAAAGGACATGAGATATCTTTATTCAAGAATTTTTGGCATCTTACCAACCCTTACCATTTTCATATAATTTCTTTTACCTAGTTTATTGAATAAAGTTTTAAATAGACTGATCGAATGAATGAAAAAGTGAGACATTATTTCATGCAGTTTCTAAAGATCTCGTTTTAATTTGCATCTCTAAAGGGAAAGACATAAAAAAAAGAAAGAATGAAAGAAGCTGGAGATGCATTTATATAATGGACCATAAGAAATGAAATGAAAAAAATAAGAAAATTGAATTTGGAAAGTTTTCAATATGCTGCTTCTGCTGGTGGTTTTAATATCATTATAAAATCTGAATGTTGTGTGAAGAGAGAAAACAGACAAAACAAATCAAAAGAAAGATAGAGAAAGATCTTATAAATATGGGGAAGCAGGAAATATCACATGTCATTCCTCTGCATTAGTTTGAATACAAATTAAACAAAATAAATTAATTATAGAAAAAGTTGAAAATTATATTGAGAAATAGAGATATATAAATAGAAAGAAATAGAATAGAATAAGACAGTATAAAACTAAAAAATCTCATCATCATTATCATTCATTTGCTTTTTTCTTTAAATTTTCATGGTGTTATTAAATATATTAGCGAAAAAAAGGTTTGAGATAAAGAAATTAAATTTACCTTTCACATTGCCGTAATGTCCACGATGCAATTATCCAAAGTGAGACCATAAATACTAATAGTACCGTACCAGGGCATATTGTCATTAGTGTTTTGAAAACAAATCTAAATAAATGAGAATTTTAAGTAAAATATTAATTTGCTAGACATTAATAAAACCCATTCAATTAGAACCTCAAGGGCATAAAGGCACTTAACACAACAACACCAGAACAATAGCTCACCTAGTGTTAAAATTAATTCGATTTAATGCACCTATACTTCGCGACGAGGCGTCAGTAAATAGTTTCGAATGTAGCAGCATAACACGACAAATCAGGTACAAACGAAGAAACATTGGCAATGACAGCACCACATCAAATGGCACATCAGCAAAGCCAGGAGCTTTATTTTTATTTGATAATTTTGTCTCCCAACGAAAATAATATTCGCCGGGTATTGGATGTATTGCACATATTAGTAATTCTAATCCTATTTGACCGATACGTTGCCACGTCATTGCAATGCGCCAATCATCCGCACAATTATCTGTCATAAACAACTGTGAATGAGATGAGATAAATTATTAAACTTTACATACAACATGCTTGGAATATCAAATTTAATTAAGTGTCTAATGGTAACGATTGGTTATGATGATGCTGAGGCTTCTCAGTGTCAATTAGTTTATGATATAAATTGCAACATATGTGATGAGCCTTTAAACTATCGTTGATATTTGTTGGTAATATTATAATTAAATCAATATATAAACATTCGAGGATTATAATAATTAACAGATGCTGCAAGAGACTCTCAATGAGAACAAGTTTTGAAATTTACTATCAGAAAACTATATTGAATATTTGGAATTAATTAAAATTTGTTAAGAGATGAGGAAGAAAATGGCGATGTTGAGGAAGAAGTTTTTCTTAAGTTTTAATCCCAGTGCCTTCACGAAATGGCAAGTAAGGAAGTATTATTTTATAAGTGAGCATAATTTTCTGGTCTTTGCTTTTTTATTATTGGAATGATTAGTAAGGAAGGCGAATGGGTCTTTATAATTTATTAAAGATTATTAAGATTATTTAAATTAAATTCTTTAAAAAATTATTCAAAAAGGATTTTTGGATAGCCACCAAATTCCATAAACGAATTTGCAAATGTTTAACCTATTTTTGACCCTAGTTACTTAAAGTATTAAAGTATTCTGTAAAATCCACAAATACAGACATACAAAAAAAATACTCAACATGACGTGATTTCAACCTGCTCTGTTTACAAAACTTTTGTAGTTTTAACATTTTGAAAAAGCTTATCTACAAGGAAAATTTTACCGCTACCATGATGATTATGATGATCATACATAATAAATATAAACAACAGTTTATAAAAGTTCAATTGAATTAATTAAGCAAACATGTTGTGCGGTCGCATGCTGTCGATCTATTTACATTTTATTGGTGTATCTTTTCTTTATTGAACAACCAATTTTTGTTGAGGTAATTTATACAAGAGAGTGTATCTATACGTAAAAACGATATAAAGCAAATATTATGCCAAGAATGAGGAAAAAGGTAAAGAGTACATACAACGAGTGTAAAATTTTTATTGCTTTTATTTTCCACACGAATTGTTGGGATGATTTAAAAGTATGAAGAAAATGAGGAGTGGATTTAAAATATGCAGGAAGGAATTTTTCAAAAAAAAAAAAGTTTAAACTTTTGCTTCACAATTTTGTGGTGGAAAATTTTATGGTATTGGTTTCTGTTCATTCACTGGCGAAGGAAGTTTAAAAAGAATTTGCTGATAGTTCATGGATGAAACTAGTTTATAGTGGAAGCAATTGATTATAGATTTATTTTTGAATTATCGTGTGGTTTGCTGTATGCTTGAATTATGACCGTAGAATAATAGAGTGAAAAATTAATTTTTGTAATGTATGGTTTATGGTTTGTGCTGGTTTGTGGAATGATTTTGCGAAATTGATTTGATAATTTAATAATAGATTTTTGTCATGAAGTATTGCTCATGCTATGTTTACAGCTCTGGGAGCTATTCGTTGATTGAAATGGCACCTCTCGTGAAGAGGGGGAAGAGGCTATTTAAGAATATGTTCTAGAAATATCAGTTAATTGTGCTGCCAAAAGAATTTTACTTTTCAATGTCAAAGAACTTTTTTGTTTTATACCAACTTTATTCACATAAATAATGAAACTTAAAATCTCTATTTTCTAAAAAAAAATGCTTTTGCATCAAATAAAGTTTTTTTGAATAAAAAATTCCAATAAGAAATTCATGATAAAAAGTTATATTGCTCGATATGCTCAGTGTCGCAGAAAAAAAATTCTTTTCATCCTCGATTGCATAAAAATGTATTCCAGATTTTTTTTTTGTGAGAGAAAGGAAGCTCAAGAACGGAAATAAAATTATTTCTGTGGAAATTTTCAGTAAACTCCGTTTTAAGCTTTTCCACAAGTTCGGAATTTCAATTAATTCTTCATCTTAGAACAAAGTTCAACCACAATTATAGTGAGACAAAGACGTGAATAAGTTAGTAAGACAGTGACTTATGGGAAGAGTTTAAGAAGTTCATTGAAAAAAAAAGTTTTAAAGAAGTTGAAAATTTGTTTTTGATTGGTTAGGGGCCGTTCAATTATGACGTCCGAAATTAACGGTCATTTTTCAAAAAAAAACAATTGATTTCCAAGAATTTCTATTGTTCTTTTCTGTCTGACCCCTCCCCCCCCCCCCCCCCCCTGGACGTCATAAGTGAACGGCCCTTTATGGAACTTGTTGAAAATTATTCGGAGTAAATTAGATAAAATCATACGGAAAAGTGGAAACTGTTCAGTACCTTCGCTGGAAGTTTTTAAAACCACTAATAACTTTCAAGAAATCTTCATATTCTTTAATGATTTTATAATTTTCTTAAAAATCTATTTAGACGTAAATTAAAATTTGAATTTAAAGATGATAATCTTGAAAGTTCTCACAAGCATCATCAGCATTTCAAAACCATAAACATCATCATCAAAAATCCCGAATATGAATAAAACTATTCAATTAGAAAACTTTTCTATCAAGTAAAAGTTTCTTAGCTGTGTAAGATATTCAGCTGTATAAATATAGCAAAAACCTCAGCATCATTATCACCATCGTCAAAACTAAACTCATAAGAAGATTAAGAAAATTAAGTTAACATACCTGAACTTCCAAAGCATGATAAGCAACTATAAGACCAAGTAAAATCACAGTCGATACAGATATCAGCGTTTTTAATGCAGTTGAGTAGAACGATGCCTGTAAATATAAGAATAAGAAATGTAAATCATAAGCTCTTTAAAAAATGTGTCTTCTTCTTCCACATAATGACTTTACGATATTTTTTTTTAACCACAATTATGTTTTGAAATTCAAGATTACCGCGATCTCATCGTAAACTTAACGGAAGGAGGAATTTTTTCCAACTTATCATCGAATTTGTTGACAAGGATGGTAATGATATCGTTGAAGTGGATAATGTAATCAAGTTCTATCGAAAAAGTTTTGAAAATTATCATGAAACTTGAGAGATCATTTGGATATATGATCGAGCTAAACGAACCTATCAATATACTTATAAGTTAAGAGAGTAGCTTTGAGATAATGAGAAGAAACTCGAGCGTCCCTCCACTTTTTAGAGTTCAGGTAACGCCCCTCGCCTGTGTTGCATTGTCAAGAAACAAACCGTTTATGAAATTTACAAATTATTTATTAATTGGAACGCCTAAAGAGACCAAAAGTTATAAATGCTTAAATTAACAAATCAAACTCCTATGCACAACTAATGAAATATCTGGAAATACTTAAAAACTTGCAAATTTCCACACCCAATTCCAAAAATATATTCATTACATGCACGTACGTAGTGAATCAGTTAATTATCCCCAATAGAATTTTCATAAAATTTTCCAACACGATAATTATGAGCATGTTTACCATTAGACTCGATTCACATACCAGATTAGATTATTCTATTGGGACTAGCTCATATATAATAATTCACTATAGACCATCTGCCGTTCCTTTATTGAACCTTTTTTATAACCTTAAAACTTTCTTCTTCCTCAATATCCCTTTCCGTCTCTAAATCATATGATGATAATTTATTATGTATTGAAAACTAATTTATAAATTAAAATCTTCTTGTTCATGTCGCAAATGAATCAGGCATGAAAAAAGTTTATTGAAAATGTATCAATTATTTAAACGTAATAATTTAAATCAGAAACATATTGTAAGGTTGTCCTTTTCGGATAAGATTAATTATGCAATGATTTTGTGAAACAAAGTATGCTCAATTTTGAAGTATTAGGAATTTGTGGATATAGCTCGAAGAGCATGTCTTTAGGAGATAATCCTGAGCATAGGACTCGCTTTGAACTGGTTATAAGTGTATGACTGATCGATGGCCGAGTGGTAAGGATCTCTGATCGAGTGGTCAGAGATCGACTATTTTGAGGTCGTGGGATCGATCCCCATCGAACCAGACTTGTTTTACAATAGTATACACATATGACAGTTATAGGAAGATCTACAGAGTTGAAAATCGAATTTATTTTAAGTCTGATTCGACATAAAATGCATCATATGTAAACCTACAAATAATATTTCACTAACGTAATTTATCATTCTTATGTATCTTGTTCCTTATCTTGCAATAATGAGCTTCGTTTTAAATTATAAAAATGACCTTATCAAGCAGCAGCATCGTTTGTTGCCGTAAATGATCTAAGATTCAACAATAAATGTGCTAATAATGCACAAATTTGTGCAGCTATTTCATAAAGATTATTATCTTGATAAAAATCATAGGACGAAATAAACGTGGAATTTCAGGTTAGTGGAATAGGTTTGAATCCATATGAAAATACACTTACTCCTTTGAAAGAGTTTCGACCTCTGCTGTAGATTTTATTAATAGAAAATATATAGAGACTGAAAATATTTGTCTTTCATCTAATTTTCAACAAAAAATAAATTACGTGTCAATCCCCCAAAAGCACCAAACAACATTTCATTCTTTCAACTCGGTGATTTGTTCAAAAAACAAAGCAAAAAAAATCTGATGATCCAAAAAATACATGCATTAATATTTCAACTAACAATTTATCTATCTCTCTATTTAGAAAGGTTTATCTTGTGAATGATGCTAAATAAATATTATCAAAAAGACACAAACACACACAGAGACATGAAACCAATGCTGATACTGATGCTGCAAATTTTCAAACATCTGAATTTATATTTTTTTTAAATGAAAATGAAATTGAGAGAAAAGAGGAAGGAACAGATTCATCTCTCATGAGGTTTTTATCTTTTTCTGCACTACACATAAAAAATAAAATTGTTTGATGTTTCAATTTTGTTAAAATGCAAAATGCCACACGTATGCAAATCTTTTTCATACCAACGCTCATCTCTCTTGACATGAAGATAAAAACGTAAATGTAGGGTAAATGACCTTGAAATTTGCGCATTTTCACACATGAAATTTTCATTTGCTTCAATCTCTTCGGAGGATTGTAACTGAGTCCAACTAATGGTCTTGAAATGCAGGGAATCAAAGATATTTTCTTCTTTATATGTGTAAAGGAAGCTCTGCTGCGTCAATGCAGAGAAATTTGACTTTTAAAGTTGAACTTTGAAATTTGCGCAGAAAACTTTGAAATTTGCGCAAAAAAATCTTAAAATTTGCGCACTTTTTCAGTAGCGATCTTTGACATATTTTAAAGAAAAATGTGTAAACAAACACAATATGTAAACAAACATTTTTCTTTACATTTATTTGGTGCATCAACTCTAAATTCAAGCAAAAAATGGAGCCATGGATTTAAATTTTTAAGAACTTTTTGATCAAGAATTTCTACAAGAAAGAATGTTTTATTTTGTGGTTGGTGTATATGTGGCTAGCTCGTTCAATTTCATGTCAAGAAGAGACATCAAGAAAAACATGTCTTGAAAATTTATTTCAAGCCCTGACAAGAACAGTTCAAAACTCACATATCAAATATCAAACAAATGTCAATTTTAAAGCACTTCTAAATGTCAGGATTTATTTATAACATATCAAATAAACAAAAAATATTTTAAACATTAAACATATTTTTGTCTCCATTCTTTATTAACTGATGACTTTCCATACTTAAACAGGACCTTCATGGATGTTTCCTTGAAGTGCTCAAATTTGATCATTTTTGACGGTTTTCTTGACTTTTGCAGGCGTTTTTATTGAAATAAATATTTAGAAATCATTTGCATAATTTTTGTCCTATGTCCTCATATCCATTTCATCAACAATCCTTCTAAAATCCTCATTTTTGGATTTAAATATTAATTAATGTTGACAAAATTTTCTGTCGATTTCTACGATACAATGTGCGCAAATTTCAAAATTTTCAGAAAATTTTGCGCAAAATTCAAGGTTCAAAAATGGGAACTTTTAAAATGGAATTTAAAAGCAGTTCTACTCATCCTTTTGAATTTGCACCATCAAAATAATTTGAAGCAACGTCAGATCTTCATTTTTTGGTACCAAAATCTCAACTAAATCTATCACATACATCCCAAAATCAAATTTTTAACAAATATTTTTTTTGTATGGGATTTTTCGGGTGCAAATTATTGAGCTTCCTAATGGTTTAATATCACTAAAAATGATGCAAAAACATCTGCGCTGGTGTTCTACAAACATTTCCCATTGATCGTCTGAACAGAAGTGACATTTTTACATATAATTTTAAAATTTTCGTTTTCATACGAGTGCGCAAATTTCAAGGTTGCGCAAATTTCAAAGTCATTTACCCTATATGAATTTGGAGAGAATTATGGTGTATTCAATGAAATTTATGATTGGCAATCATTCGAATAGATGTGAAAATATCAAGTTGTGAAATATTTAACTTAACATTTCACAAATTGGTGGTTCTTTAGACGAAAATCCATTTTTTGTGCTTAAATTTCAATTAAATTTTTATAAAACCTAAAAGATGATCATCATTAATTAGAAATTGCAACACAAGCAGCATCAACCGCAATTCTCAAAGTTTTAACATGATTTTCGATAAATTTACCAAAAATTCTACATTCACTATTTTCCATTGTGGTTTTAATGTCTGTCATGAATTGTGAAATATTAAGTTCACCTACAAAATGTTATCTTGAAAAGACTATTCATCAGCCTTACTAGATTGTTCTTAAAATAATGCCGTTTTATACTATAAGAGCGTATACATGAGGATTTTGACAGACAATGAACTATTTCCTTTTCAGAAATTGAAATTGGAAATGTGTTGCAAAAGTACATTATAATGCGGTGTTCTCTGATAAATGCATATGAATGAATTCAACAATAAGTGTTGTAGCTAGAATGATAACATTCATATGAGATTAAAATTATTAAATTGAATTGTGAGTTTTATTATTTTGCATTTAAGCTAAAATAGCTAAAATAGATTATGGAATGTTGATAGGTATAAATAATTTTAGAACAGAAAGGAATTAGGGGGAGATCAAGGTTTTAATTAGTATTTTACATAAATCTGTGCTGGTGTTGGGAGAATCATAAAAAATTAATTATAAACATTTTCATTTACGATTCTGTTATGAGTTATGTCTCATATAAGATTTGAATTATGAGGACTGTGGGTTGAATAAATAAATTTTATGAAACAAATGTTTGACATAAACTTAATCATCACAGTTTCAACGTGTTTTATGTCGACTAAAAATAAAATAAAGTCTAAATGCACTTTTTAATGTAGTGCTTAGTTTTAACAGGATTTTAATTACGTTTTTTACATATTTCACTCTGATTTTCAGGAAGTTTTATAAATTTTTCATCAATATGTTCTAAGCAGTTAAGTGCCTTGCTGGTCGAATCGGTAAGGCGGTTGGCTCAAATTTGGTATGGTAACTCGAAGGTCATCGGTTCGAATCCAGCCATTTCCAAATTTGTTCTTTTTCGGAAGTTTAGATACTTCGACTGCTTAATGTACGAGATCAAGCCATAATTGGGCATTTTGGGCAACGTTGGATTAAGGAACGGGTCAGGAACTTAAAGTGTAGCGGGAGAAATAGTAACGAGAGCTACAAGATTATCTTATAATGGAATATTGTCATTGAAACGAGAGCCTGAATTTAATCAAAACCTAGATTTGAAGATTTAAAGCTTGATTCTACGTCACCCATAGTGATATGAAATGTATCACTAATCAATATAAAAAGTGAAACATGTATAAATACTAATTCTTCCGGACGGT